AATCTCTCTAAAGTCATATGAAGGCAGTTTTATTTTTCCTATTTTGCAGAAGAGGCACTGAGAGGTTATGTAACTTGGCCATGATCACACAGCTAATAAAAGATAAAGCTGAGGTTTGAACTCCAGTAGATGGGCCAAGCCTGGGCCTTAAGCAGTCAGCAGGACAGTTATACCATTTCACTTTCTTTGGGTTCCATAGGTTTAACAGTGAACAGGACTTTGCTAATCATGAGAGTAGAATGTCACGGTCAAGTAGGGGTACCTTACTTCTTATCCTCCTGGTCTCCAGAGCTGGAATTCCAGCAGGTGTGGTCACATGAAAAAGCCCTAGTTATACTTGGAAAACACACACACACACACACAAAACTCTCTACAAATGTGATTATATATATATATATATATAGTGACATTTAAGATTCATTTCTAAAACAGGCAACAAAATAAACATGAAAGCTACAATTTGACACCTTTTTCAAAAGTCCTTAACCATTATTAAGTAGGTTCTAGAAAATTCCCTCATCTCATGCATCATCTGTAGTGAGCCTCTGTAGCATACGCATCTCTTTAATTGAGTTAATCATAGGACACCTTCCTAAACTGTGGTCACATTGGCCCTGGGCCCATGTGCATCTGCGATCCTGTCTTTTCGTTGGCCAATGTCTTTCACAACCTCTCAACCTGGAAGTATTTCCAAGGAGTCACAGGAGAGACCTGTGTTCACTTTCTGTTCTCAGCTCTTACCCTGTCAAACACATTAGAATCTGAAAAGAAAACCAGTAAAATTAAACTACTGCAAGAAGATGCTGATTTAAGCAACATCTATGAGCTCCTTTTAGAAATCAGAATAATTCTTTGCTGTTGCTTTCCCTTAACGAGATTCCCACCTCTTCCGATAAGTACCTTGGCATCTTTTATGAACTGAAATTTTCATTCGCTTTTCTTCAGCAACTAAGACTTTATAGCCTATTTCTGCCAGGGAACTGGGAGTTATAAATCTGTCTACACCTGAAGCTGCTTGTTAAAGGAGAAGGCATTGCTTCCAGGACATTTATCAATTAAAAAAAAAAAAGACATTGAAACTGCAAATACATTTTTAAAATTCATCTCCCACAGGGTTATTTTTTTAAGTGAGATAAAAAGAGGTGGCCCATTCAGCTCCCCAGAGGACAGAGCCCATTTTTCTCTTCTCTCACAAGGATTAACATAGTGTGAAAAGAAGCAGCTGATGCTTTGGACTCCACTCAACTTAGGCTTGAATCTTGACCATGACTTAAGGTCTTGTGCTTCTGCTTCCCCATCTGTAAAATGGGAGTCAAGATGTCACCATCTGTGAACAAAGAGGCCAGTTAGCATTAACAATAGAGAAATAATAACAGCAATGTGGGTGAAAGATTTTTGTACAAAGACTCCTCTCTTTCCAACCCATGATTTAGAGAGAGAGCACAAATGGTAACTAAGGGGTTACAATAAATGTGTTTGGAGACTGAAAAAATGTTTACAAGGACCTGGGGAGTTAGATAAGTTGGTAAAGTGCTTGCCACGCAAGCAGGAGGATCACGTTCAATCTCCAGGATCCATATTTAAAAAGCCTAGCCCGGTGGTGTGCATTTGTAATCAGAGTGCTAGGGCGGTAGAGACAGGTAGATCCCTGGGGCTTGCTGACTAGCCAGCCTCACCTAATTGGGTGGGTTCCAGGCCAACGAGAAATGCTGTCTCAAAAAGCAAAGTGGATGACTCCTGGGAAATGACACCTGAGGTTGACTGCTGACCTCCACATGCATACACATATATATACACACACAAATATGCACATTCATGCACACACACACACACACACACACACACAGGTTCAAAATAGTTGGGAGTTTACAGGCATGTGATCTGGAGCCTCTTGCAGAGGACCCAGGTTTGATTCCCACCACCCACATGGCTGCTAACAACCACCTGTAACTCCAGTTCCAGAGGAATTCGATATTCTCTTCTGACATTCTCTTGTATGACATGGGTGCATTTACATACATGCAGACAATACGCTCATACACATAACAAATAAAATATTTTTAAAAAGAAAGTACCAATAGAGACAAGGGAAGAAACAAGCAGGAGAGGAAAGGAGTTTGGAGTTTACATCAGGGTTTCCATTCCCCATTATTAAACCTAATAATTCAGTTTGCATGTTCAGGAGAATAATCACCACTGACTACAGTCCGAAACATCCAACTATTATTTGCAGAGTATCTGGGGCTCCTCTGGCCTGGCCTGTCTGGTACTTTGGGAGAGAAATCTCTCTTTTCCTTCTGTGCAAAAGGCCAGCAGTCTCAATGGAAGATCTCTTTTTTTAGAACTGGTGATAAATGTGTGTGTGCGTGGGATCCCATTAAACTGGGAATTCCTTTGAAATTTGCCTTTCTCCTTTCTCTCCGTGGTCCATAGATAGATCCTGGCTGCAATTGGGTATGAAAGCTCTTAAGCCTGCCTTGAGAGTCATGTTCTGTTTTTGAAAAGTGCTTTAAAAAAAGAAGAAGGCCAGGCGTGGTGGCGCACGCCTTTAATGCCAGCACTTGGGAGGCAGGGGCAGGCAGATCTCTGTGAGTTCAAGGCCAGCCTGGTCTACATAGTGCTCTCCAGGACAGCTGGAGCTACAAGGAGACCCTGTCTCAAAAAAAAAAAAAAAAAGGAGGAGGAGGAGGAGGAGGAGGCTGTTTTTTCACTCAGTCTAGGAATATCCTTCCCAAGAAGTTAGAGCCATACCAGAGTAACAGGATCCATATGTTGAAGCTGACAGCTAATGTTCAACATATGGGCCAGTGAGCTTTGCAGGCAGAAATGGGTCCCTGATCCTTTAAAGAATGCTCTGTAAACTCCACAAAGCACTGTTACTCAAGTGGGCATGGTGGAGGCACAGCCTCCATGGCTTCGTAGTACCACTGATCTCATCCAGTATGAGCCACTAGAAGCAACTGAACATGTTCTGATTGGCCTTCAAATTCACAGCACTGGCCCATAGCCTTCTCTGTAAGCCCCTGTGCTTCCCAGAAGGGCAGGAAGTCTTAACCCTGGATTCTATAATCCTCAAGGAATGGCAGTGCTGAGGGCTATCAGTGTCCCCAGATGGTCCCTCTCTACAAAGGTAGCACTACAGAGTAACACAATTCTTACCTGACAGCCAGGAGGCCTGGGCTTCAGAGCACCAGGCCCCTAACTAGAAGTGATTGTAAGGAAGTCACTCCACCACTCCTCCTCATCTGGAAGGTGCAGAATTGAGCAGCACCTAAGTCAAGCTAGAGACGAATGATGGGGAAGCAGCCCCAGCTGGTTGCATCTGCACCTATAGACTCAGCCCTGGTCAACATCGTGTCCCAGTGCAGCTCTGGATACCATGGGTTATGATCAGAAAAGTGGGTGAAGAACTTGTTTGCAAGTAAGAATTCAGCCCTAAGCCCCAAGGGGCTCAGAGCAGCAGAGTGGGAGTGACTAGCAACCCTCCAGATGACTAGTATTTCCCTTGACTCCTTATTTGAATGTGCCCAAGCTCCCCCTCATCCATACAGGGAAGCTCAGCCTCCTCCCCTCCTTGGCCTTGAACCCTGTTCCTGACTCTTTCCCTCCCTCCATCTTTTTCTCATGCCTGACTCCACTCTATCCTGTCCCTCTACAGCTTCTGCTGTTTTTTTCTGTGACCTGCTTTGTCTGTTGGTGGGATGGTTAGGAAGACTATGCCCCCAATACTCTGACTCCCCCGTGCACTCCCTTTCCAGCCCCAGGCAGGCCCTTTGATCCTTGTAATTTGCTGAACACAACTGTGGCCTCTTCATCACATGAGCACAGACTCAGAGCTGCTGCTCCAGCCCTGCCTGCAAGTCAGTCACCATGGCAACGAGCTTTCCCTCCATTCTACTGTGAACAGAAAATGGCTGTTGGAAGGAAGCACTCATGGAGTCTCTATGACCCAGCCTGTTTTGTTTGGGCTCCTGGTTCCTAATGGTTCTGAGGAGCTCCCTCCATTGTACCAAATGTGTGGTAGCCTTCACCTTTCAGGTTTACTTAAAGAGAGCAGAGGCAGAAGGACGTCAAATTCAAATGAATAAAGCATTCTGCTTTCCTATTCTAAAACTGTATTTTCACGAGCAGTTGCTATCTGTTCTAAGGAGATGAACGGGGAACAGAGTGAACTCAGGAATCAGTGAGATCTAGGGCAATGAATTTTCTGGTCAGTGCCATGGGATAACAGAACGTATGGATATTCAAATAAAAATGCAGGGAAAGTAGCCAATGGATGCTGGGAATTCCACAAAAACATAGACTGTGAGATTTCAAGAAAGACTAATTGGGGTACTGATGCTGTTTCCCCTTATGGAAATCGGTGTGTTGATTATACATTGGGGAGAAGGTCTATACCCCTGCTTTAGAATCAGTTGGAATCATGATCAAGCATGGTGGCCTGGGGAATTAACAAGAGACCCCTAGGCATAGTTCTGGAGTGACAGGTTGCCTGCTCTTTAAAGCCCTAGAGATACTTCAGACTGACAACCAAAAGAGACTGACTAGACCACTCTTTTTGTGAATCCAAAACATGGCTGTTTAGGTCAGTCTCCCAGGGGACCCGTCTTCCCTGACAGCATCTAGCAGTTCCATGTTGGAGCCATCTAGACTGTGTCCACTCCTGCCCATAGCATAAAGAGACTTTGGTGGTAACAAGTTCTCAAAAGTGAAATAATCCTCGAAGTCTGTTTGTTTGTTTGTTTGTTTGTTTGTTTGTTTGTTTTGAGACAGAATCTTCTCTGTAGACACAGCTGGCCTGGAACTTGCTATGTAGACCAGACTGGCCTCAATCTCACAGAGATAGATCCTCTTGCCTCTGCCTCCTGAGTGCTGCTGGGATTACAGATGTGGACCATCACACCCAGCGAGAGCCCTGTTTTTTAATGAAAGTGCTGGGCTTCATTCTTAAAATTTCAAATGTGTATTTGAACTGGATTTTTTTCTTCTTTTTCTTTCAGTTTCTCTGCAAGTAGACATTGTTCCCAGCCAAGGAGAAATCAGCGTTGGAGAGTCCAAATTCTTCCTGTGCCAAGGCAAGTGTTCATGTCCCATTGCGTTCCAAAGCTGCCCCCAAAACCCACTGCACAAAGCAAAAGACCAAGGAGTCCCAGCCTAGAATTCCAGCCACCTCTCTACTCGGGGTCAGTAGTGTGACCAATCAAGACCAAGAAGCACTCTCGGGCCCTCTTCCTTCCTTTTGATGGCCTTCCCTTTGGTGGCATCCTTCTTGGCACCAGAGCAGCTTTAAGGGGTTTGGTAGGAAAATCCTCCCCAGAGAATTAATTTTCTCAGATCTCCTGTAATGTCTGCAGTTACAGTTCTGGAAAACAGCATTAGCTTAGAAATAATGCCTCCATAGGTCAGCTTAAGGCTCATTTCTTAGAATCTTCCAGACCAAGGTCTTGAAAGTATGTTGGGCAGGTATCTCTGGATATGAACTCATACACTGGGTTTTCTAGGGCATTTTAAATATCAGTGTTCTGACCTATCACCTCCTTGACATATATACACACCTCTGGGATACGTCAGACCTGGTGTTCTTGAAGCTTAGACCTGCAATGATCGGGACACATCCCGTGGAAGAGAGGGTATGTGGACTTAGGCCTCAAGACTTTTGTAGATGGCATGCCTGAGATTCAGAACCTGGCAGAAACAGAGATGAGCTGAACTGGGTGTAAGCTGTGGCATTTAACAAGCAGCTTTGAGCAGATTTAACTGCCACTGTGATTTGCATCACATGAGATGGCTGTGGCCGCTAGATGCGTTCATTCCGGCTCTGCCTTCATTACAGCAATTTCAGTAATCTGAAGATACAGCTTCAGTGCCCTCAGCACATCTTGCAAACTATGATATTTATTGGAAACATGATGAGCCCTGAAAGGAAGACTATGTTTCCATACCAAGCTTCTGCACAAGGCTACATGGTATGGCTAGAAAGGGTCCCATGAAGAGACCTGGACAAGCAAGGGGCATTGTACTGGAGAGCCCTTCACCCTGACCCAGCATAGTTTCCAGGCAGCTCAGCAATAGTAGTCTGCTCCTCACAAGTGCCCAGGGAGAAGGGGCATAAGTGATCTGCTGCCTCCTCAGAGCACGTAAGGGCTTGAATTATCCTATTGAGGCAGTAGGACCAGAATGTCATTCATATCAGCTTAAACAGGAAAATGCCATAATCAAAGAAGCTGGACTCTTCACTCAGACTAGCCAGTGTCTCTCATATTCAATCAGAAGATGACCTGTCCCCTTCTTTCACAATCTGATTGTTTGGCTCAGTCCAACTAGGTCCTTGAGCTGAAGGCTCAGATATACTAACTCCCTTTATTTATCATTTCATAAAGCTTATGCACTCCTAGCTTAGTGGCTGGAGCACAGTAGGTTCACAGCAAGTATCTTTTCCCTTGGTAAGGACAGATAACTATAAAACAATACAGGCACAGGCAGCTGGTAAGTTCTTTGAACTGCTCTAGGAGATGTTATGTATATAATTAAACAGACACAGAGCAGGGCTGCAAAGCATTTCATGATAGCTATCCCTCCCCAGCCCGCCAGCCTCTGTCATCCAGCGGTTCTTACTGAGTAGCTGCTGTCACCATGCAAGGGCTTGGGCTTCTCATTTTCAGTGGTTTGAAAATGATCTCTTCCTCCTTAGTGGCAGGAGATGCCAAAGACAAAGACATCTCCTGGTTCTCCCCCAACGGGGAAAAGCTCAGCCCAAACCAGCAGCGGATCTCGGTGGTGTGGAACGACGACGACTCCTCCACACTCACCATCTACAATGCCAACATTGATGACGCCGGCATTTACAAGTGTGTGGTCACTGGTGAGGATGGCACCCAGTCCGAGGCCACCGTCAACGTGAAGATCTTCCGTAAGAGCATCCCTTCATTTGTGCTCTTCATTTACATCCTGGTCATCAAAGACATGTGGGTGGATGACACAAGTGGAAAGATAGCAACAGAGGGACCTGACCGTTCCTTTTTTTCTCCCTGAATCTTTTCTGGCCTCACTAAGAGTTCTAGTACATTCTCAGATGGTCCGTGGCTAGCCCAGATCGCACAAGACTGGCTCCCACAGGCCATGGCTACCTTTCCACTAGCCTCCATTCTCCACAAACTACACAGTTCTCGTAGGGCTACTATGGGTTCTTCCATGATACCTTAAGTGACAAGATATTTAGTTCATGTTTTCCCTTCTTATACCACTATCTCTTCTGGTAATGTAACTCAGAGACCCAATGGGATGGGGTATTATCATCTGGACCCCTGATATCATTCAGAGAGAGCCTACTGCTGCTGAAAGCCCATTTGGAGGTGACATCTCTTTGCCTTCTTACTGTGCATATGCCCCATTGAGTGGAGTCTTGGTAATTGACAGCTGGTAAGTCAGTACTGCTCGGGCATTCATAGCCAGTAAGTGGGCTCTCTTGTTCTCTCTGCTGTAGGAAACTTGGGATGGGACTAGGAATATGGGTCAAAATGGGGGAGACCAATAAAGAACTGATGATGCCGGTGTTATTGTAGCCTAGGCCTGCCACTCATCACTGTAGCTGTGTGCATCATTATACATGGCAAGGAACCCATTTCCCACTCTAGACCCTTTATTGTGCCAGCTGCCCTGCCTGTATCCAAAGCCAAGTGCTGAGTGGGAACCCCTCCTGTACCACTATATGTACACATAGAGACTTGCCTGGAACTCAACTCCAGCTCTCAATAGCTCTATTGAGAAAGCGTCTTTTCCTCACTCTGCTCCTCCTGCTGTTTTCCAGAGAAGCTCATGTTCAAGAATGCACCAACCCCACAGGAGTTCAAGGAAGGGGAAGATGCTGTGATTGTTTGTGATGTGGTCAGCTCCCTGCCCCCAACCATCATCTGGAAACACAAAGGCCGAGATGTCATCCTGAAAAAAGATGGTGAGATCGGAGTTTCTGTGAGCCACCAGATCCCCTGAGTTTCCACCCCTGCCAGCCCCTGATACACTCCACACATCTCCAGGGCCCAGACCCGTATGCAATTTCCAGTCCTAAACAGACGTGACTGTACCTGGTATATTCAAGCACCTGATTCTCTCTCCAAAGCTACAGAAAAATTCCCAGTCGACTTGCTCTCAGCTCTATTTCAGAACCAGGCTTTTTCTGATTCAACCTAAGGCCCAACCCCATAACTCTGAAGTTAAGAGAAAGGAAGAGATACCTAGGTGCTGTCACATACTTGTAATTCCAGCACTCAGAAGCTGAGACAAGGGAATGGTTACAAATTTAAGGCTAACCTGGGCTACATAGCAACTTCTAGGCCAGAGCGGGCTACATTGTAAAACCCTGTTTCAAAAATAACAACACGCAAAACCAATAAAAAGAAAGAGGATGAGGCTCAGCTGCCTACCTGTTGATCGTGGAGTTCTCTGACTGACTTGTGTCTTGTCTCTTCTAGCCCGATTCATAGTCCTGTCCAACAACTACCTGCAGATCCGGGGCATCAAGAAAACAGATGAGGGCACTTACCGCTGTGAGGGCAGAATCCTGGCACGAGGGGAGATCAATTTTAAGGATATTCAGGTCATCGTGAATGGTGAGGAAACCTGGCCTTCCCACTTTCTCCATTGCTACAACCAGGGTTCCCAGGGGTTCTTCTGTTCCACTTCCTCCTGGGTATATAAAATAATTCCTGTTCTGACTCATCTGTGCATCTCAGGGGACTTTCCTCCTTACCATTATAATCTTTGGGAAGCGGGTGTTATTTTAGGACACCAGTTTGGGGCTCTCTGGGTCTTTCAGTGCAGATATTGAATGTCCTTCATTGTCTTGCAGGACTAAAATCTTTCCCCATTTTGCTAATAAACTCTTCTTCATCCTTGGTGTCCTTGATGTTACAGTCATTAGGAAGTTAGTCCCCTTGGTTTGATGTGCAGAGAAAAATATTACAATCAATTCAGGTCTCAGAATAGCATCACAGTCTGTGGGCTTATTAATCTTAATTTGCATTGTCAAATAAACACACCCATGGAATCGATCTGACATTTACAAGATGTTTACAGGAAATTATAATGTCAGTACTAAGAAAATAAGTAAATTGCTTTTGAATTGTTTTGGTTATCGATATATGTTTTCTTGCCAAACCCTCCCCTTCTCCTTCCTTTGGTGGAAACAGTTTGTGCACAAAGTTGTTTATGACAGTTTCGGAGAAATGACACTTGGTGAGCTAGTGTATTTTGGGATAATGCCAATCTGATAATCAGCAGGAACTGTACTTTCTAGCTTTTTCCAGTATGGACAGTCTCTCTTTGAACAGCAAGTTCCACCAACACAAGTAGTTATTTAGTATATATTGATTGAGAAAGTACACATTAAAAAATAGCTCCTATAAATTAAATACCACACCAACAGGAGTTAAAAAAGTAATAGAGCTTTTAAACTCTTAAAAACAATAATGCATGTTTGTGGTCAAACTGTTTACTCAGTTTACATTAATTATTTAATACACCACATGAGTTTAGAGCTCTTACACCAGCACTGCAAATGCCTAGGACAATTCAGCCCCAGGTAGAGACCCTGTGACTTGGGGATCCCTAAAACGCCTCTTCTCTGAGTCATCAAGTTCTCCCAAGTTTGCACAGTCACCCCTGACATCCTCTTATCCTTCAGTACCACCCACTGTCCAGGCCAGACAGAGCATCGTGAATGCCACCGCCAACCTGGGCCAGTCTGTCACCCTGGTGTGTGATGCCGATGGCTTCCCAGAGCCCACCATGAGCTGGACAAAGTAAGAAACTAATTTGTGCCTTGTGTCATGGGTCCCATTCCACGTGGGTATTTCAGTGAAGTTCTTTAGCCTTGTGTCTCGGATTATTCCTTCATTTCCAGTCTGGTGGAAAGCCCCAGAAGGTATGGCTTGTAGGGGTGGTCCTTTGGAACCTTAGCCTTTGGACAGACTTGGACAGTTGAGGAGAGGAATAAAAAGAATGTGACAGAGAATTCAGTGCTGTGTCTTCTGTCCTTGTATAGACTGAGCCTTTCCCATAGGCAGTCTACATTCTATAGAAACTAATCAAGTAAGCATCATAATTCCGTGTTCAAAACTATCATTCTTTGCATTTCCACACCGAGTAGGGATGGAGAACCCATAGAGCATGAGGAAGACGACGAGAAGTACATCTTCAGTGATGACAGTGCTGAGCTAACCATCAGGAAAGTGGACAAAAACGACGAGGCTGAGTACATCTGCATTGCCGAGAACAAGGCAGGCGAGCAGGATGCATCCATCCACCTCAAGGTCTTTGGTAAGTACAGTTCGGGGTCAAGGTCACTGCTTAACCACAATTCCTGTTACTCTACATTTCAGTCCATCAGCAAGAGTGTCTCCACCCTTTCTTGCAATGTACCCAAGAGGCAACCATCCACTGCCACTCTGTCACTTAAGCCCTAGTCCACTGTCCATCCCTCCTCAGCAACACGCAGCCCCCTAGCTGGTCTCCTTTCCCCCCATCACCTCAGTCCCCTTCAGTCTCTGCTGCTCATTGGAGCTAGGATGGCCTACAGGCCTCTCCTCTTTTCAAGCTTCCTGTTGCAACTGAAGTAACTCTAGATTCCTTCTGTAGCCCAGTATGCCCTTGTTTCTCTACGGCATTAGCCATCCCTTCCTCTTCTCCACAGAGAAAACTCTCCAACCACACCAGCCTCCTTTCTGTCTCTCACACACGTCACGCTAATTCCCTACCTCTTTTGCTTGGTGCATCGTTCCCTCAGACCTGCTCCGAGCAACTTTCTTATCATCACAGAGATCTCAGCTCAAGCTCACCTTGCCCATGATGCCGTCCTTCACTGCCCTGATATTGCCTCTCCCATCACATCTGCCTCCCTGCTGTCCCGCCCCAGTCCCCCATCTTAGCAGTTTCTGAATGATTCCTGTTGACAGGTTTGTTTGGGGGATTATCTCCAGTCTCCATTAGCATGCTAAATGTGTGTTGGCAGAATACCGACTGTCTTATACATTGCTTTATCCCTGGTGCTCTAAACTGCCCAGACTCATAGTATCTTGACATGTACCAATGCCTGGCTGGTTGGCTGCCTCGCTTTTCTTGCTTCCTTTACTGGCCTGGGTGCCATTGCCATAGACAGTCATGCAAGGAATGCTCATGTCTCCACCCCTTTGTCTTTACAAAGCCCCCAAACTTTCAGGCACTTCGGAATCGAAATGCATTTTGACATTGTGAAAAAAGATCTTGTTGCTGAGGAAGCTGTACCCTAGTGACGCTCAACTGCTACTGCTCATCTAGTTACAAAGCATAGACAAGCTGCTCCACTGTAGGTCGTGCTAGTTCAATATAGGGCCTGAGAGGCCGTGCTGGTACCCGTCCTCCCAGGTGGTTAAAATTACACTTGGGAGTCAGTGTTGGGACCTGCTTGTTTAACCTGATCCAGAGAACTGTGTAAACACACGGCTGAAAATCAAGTGGTTGTATGCAAATGACCTTGGTAATCACAGATGAATCTTATTTATTTCCTGATGACGACCAAGTTTAATAATAAGTTGTAAGTTTGTTCGAGGTGTGTATGTACATGATAGGAAACACTAAACTTCATGAGAAGCATTCCTATGTGTATGTTTGTACATATTCGTGTGGATGTGGGTGCATATGTGTACACATGCATGTGCAGGCCAGAAGGCAGTCTCAAGTGTCTTTTCTTTGGTGCCATCCACCGTATTTTTTGAGACAGGGTCTCTGACTTGGAGATTGCTGGTTTAGCTAGGCAAGCTGGCCAGGGAGCCCCGGAGAGCTAGCTGTCTTTACCTCCCTAGGAATTGCGACTATACTATGCCCACCTAAGCCCGGGTTTTTTATGTGTATCTGGGGATCAAGCAAAGATCCTCAAGCTTGCAAGGCAAGTACTTTACTAACTGAGCTATCTTCCTAGCCCATGAAGAACATTCTTGACAGTCTTTTATCTCTAATTCAGACTAATAATCCCCCATCATTCTGATTTTGTGTTTTCTGTATTACAAAGAGGGACAGGTGCAATGTTAATTTATTTCATCATTTAAGAAATATTGAGCACCTGTGCTGTTGGATAGAGTGGCTGGAGAGATAAGTAGAACTGGACTCTGAGAAGCACCGAGTAAGAGATAAACATGTAAACACAAGAGATAATAGTTAGGCTCATGAGAACAACCCATTTGAGTGATTACTGTGGACCCAGCCCTTGCCAAGTTTAAGATAAACCAGCATGGATTCCCTTCACGTCTTTAGATTCACAGGCTAGTGTAAGATGGTCGACACTGACATTTTAAATGACAGCTTCCTACAATGACTTCACGGTTGCAGTCTGTGCAGTGTTTTATAGGAAAAGAAGCTTTCTGGTTCTGCATGGCTTTAGTTAGTCACCAAAATGACGTGCCTCTGCAGATACAGAACGGTGGGTGAGAACTTCAGGCATCACTTGCACCAAGCAGAGACAAGAAAAGCCTGTGCTGTGTTGAGTGTGAGCTGTTGTGGCCAGGGCTGTGTCTGGTTCGCTTACAGCTATGTTTCCAGCACCTAACAGCACCTGGAGTTCAGTAGGCAAGAGCATCTGAAATAGCCAAAGGAACAGCCATTAATTCTCCGTGGCTGAAGTATAGCTTGTGCAACAGGGAGAGGACCTTGAAATGAAGTTACTCCCTGTTGTCTCTAGGAAACATTTTTAACATTAATTCCGTAAAGTAATAATAGTAATAATACTCAGCATAAAAGAAGGAGCATTTATACTGTGAAGTGTTCTCCACCACCTATCTCGTGTGATCCTCATCACAGCCCTCTGAGGTAAAGGCAGTTATCATCCCATTTCACAAATGAACACCGGAAGCTCAGGTTCTCCTCCCAAGGATCAAGGATTCGAAACAAGACTGTTTGCTTCTAAGTCCACTCTAGAAGATAATAGTGGTGGTTACGTCTGCACACAACCCATGGGCGTCTGGGCTGAATTTGAATGCCTGGGAAACGGTAATACATATGGAAAGAGTATACTGCCCTCAACCACCATGCTGCTCATGGGTTCTCTACAGCGGAGCACCTTGAACTTTTTCCACTTGAAATTCCTCTTTTACCTAAGAAATTTTTACACAACCCCAGGAATATAGGAATATGAAATAGGGATACAAGTCAAACATTTACAGATAATGAATCAAAACGATATTTATTTTAAAACAACTTTTGTGCTCTACATATAATTTTACAATTTATTAAAAATGAAAACATTTGCATACTAATGAGATGGATCCCCTTGTTTATTGTTGCATAAAGAATTAAATCTTGTCTGAATATTTGATAACATAAGATAAAGACTATCGTCAGTGTTTTTCAGAGTTGCTTGATACTTCAATTTTCTAATCATCGAGACTGAAAGTGCCGCTTTGTGTAAATGTGTAGCACAAACTGACAGAAGTATGTTTAGGGCCCTTTCAGAAATTGTTGGAAATTCTGTCCCAATCCCAAGCCAAAACTCATTGAATAATTTTCTATGAAACTCAAGTCAGCAACTCAAAACAGCAATTTTTAAAATCAAGCATTCTAACACAAACAATCCAAAGATACACTAATCTGATACTTATATGCCCTTGAAGAATGATGGTGGGAAAATATTGAAAGTCTCTGTTTTCCATAATTAAACCATTATGTTTCTGTAAGAGCAGAAAACTTTGTATGTGTAGTAAAAATACTGCAATTCATGACATACAATAGCCTTGAATCGGAGCCGAGGTGTTTCAGCCAGCATTTGCTGGCACTGTGTGGTGTGACAGCATCCGCATGTTGGGTGCTCAGAAGAAAGGCTTCAGTGGAGTCACATCATACAACACCTCAGATTCATAGAGCGTTTGAGTTTTGGACCGATTTTTGGTTGTTGTGTGTCCAGAAACATCTTACTATTGCCAACCTTTTATGTGATCTCTGCTTTCAGTTGTGTGACTTCATGTGGGATTATAGCCTACAGTTTAAGAAGCTGTGCTCTATAGAACATACTCAGCTCTGACATGACTGGTTAAGAGCATCTCTTAGTTCCTCTTCCAGTCCCCTCTGGTACCAATGGTTTCCCTAGGCAGAAAGAGTAAGTGGTAAATGAGAAGCCACGAGGGGCCATGGGAGAATGAAAAGAATGGATAAGGCCCTGAAGTGGAGGTAAAGAAAAAGAAATTATGATGGAGAATCAGACAAGACAGGATTTCATCCAAGCCTTCAACCCAATGGACACATTTATCCCTACACCTCTCTGTATCTGCATCACACACAAGCACTCACACACACACACACACTCACCCCGCATGCCACAATTTCTTTCTCACTACTGTTAACTATATTTACAAGACAGCACAGTGGAGCAAGAGGTTGCTGGGCTTCTTGAGAAGAAGGAAGTCATAGACCTGTAGCAATGATGTCAATCCAGAGGAAAAATCCTCTGCAATAGCATAAAAGGAGTTCATCTAGCTTTCTTGAATTTCTGCCACAGCCACACACCCTTATTTTCACTTCCTGAGACTCCTTCTCTGCTCCGCCTTCTGGCTTCCTCCATTGGTTGAGGCAACCGGTATGGGACAGGAAATCTGATGAAAAGGATCCAGCTGGTTAGATCATCCCTCTTTGTGCTTTCTCCCTCCTTTCCCTTCCTGCTTGCAACAATGGGTCATCCCTGAGGCGAACTGCACAGGTTTCTTCAGCAGTTGCAAAGCCTATTGTTATACGAAAGGAAAGAAATCTATCTTAGGTAGTGAAGAACTCAAAACCCATGGCTTCGAGAGGGGCTCACAATTAGTATGTAAAGAGCAGGACTAGATTAGAGACTGCTCCAGTTGGACCTAAATGACATCATTTATTTCCTTAAGAAAGGGGCCTGTTCTGGCATGTGTTGTCCTAGTTATCACCTGCTTAGAAAAGGGCTCCCTTTACTAAGTAGCTGTATTCTACTTTCCTTTAAAGTTGGCTGTGAATTTCCATTGCTCTTCTCCCCATGGGTCCTGCTGAAGAAGTATTTTTGTTTCTGCAGATAATTATGCCTGTGCTAATGATCTTGAGGTCTCATGGTACCATGAGCTGAGGCAAGTTCACTGATGGGCAGAAGCCTTGCTCACTGACTGTTGGAGGCACTAAGTCGCACAGAGGCAGGGAGACAACTGAGAAAAGATGCAAACCCCAGGAGCCCACACAGAGGTTAAGATGGAGCAAGGACCACCATTATGAAGCTTGGACAGACACTTCCTGGTGCTGGGATACAGGGGGAGGGAATCTTTCATAAGTAAGCAGACTCTGCATCTGTTCCTGTTTGCTCAGTATGCTTGGTGTCTCGATGGGGTTATTTAGAGTACCCCTGTGACATTGCAAAGGGTCTTCTAAACCTGCCTCTAGTGCTGATGGCAATGCTGCTTCCAGAGTCGGAGGATCGAATCCTCCCTTCTAAAACCCTCTGTATCATGTAAAAAATTAACCTTACTTACTAATGTGCTTAACAAGAACATAGTTAGCCTTTTTCTAAGGACTTATACAAGGCAGTCTTCATAGCCATCTGGGAACTGGAGCCACATAAACCAAATGTTAGCAGACACTACCTGACCTTCACCTGTCTTCTGTTAAACTTTCACTGACAGGACAAGGTGCTAAAGGCCAGGAGAAGGTCAGAAATGCTGTCTAGATCTCAGACTCCAAGTTCAAATAGCCAGAATTTTAGCCATTATAGGGCTGGCTATCTCCAGACCCAAATAACTACTTGGTTTAGAGAATTTATTTACTTATATTGTGTTTTAGGTTTTGATTTTTCTTTTCTTTTTACTTTTCATTCTGTGACTTTGGTACCTTAAAATTCAACTCATACTTTATTTTACTTTGTTTTATTTTGCCCACTAAAGCCTTCTATTCAGTAATAATGAACCCTTACTCTATCCAGTGTAAGTTGTAACCTTCTATAAGGCATATTTATCAAGGTAGACATAAAGTTTTCCTACAGAAAACTTCATGCCTGAGTTGATGAACTCTGCCAATTCCATGATTGTGGGATCACTTGGATGCACTGGATTAAGACGTGTGTATGTGCTAGCCATTGGAAGAGGATTGGCCAAGTGGGATGTTGGTGCAGATTAACCTGAGGAGCCTATTTGAGCCACATAGGTGATTTTACACCTGTTGGTATAAATTGGCAGGCCTTTGATATAAACTAAACACAGCTGTCATTGCTTTCTACTTCCTAAAGCCGCATGAAGGACTCCAATCAGTCAAAATTTTCAGGCATTTTCTTAGCCTACGTGCGGTTACTGTGAATTCAAATACAAAAGAAATGTAGTGATTTCAAAAACCATCTGTAATTCTGACTTTGTGGCTGTGTCTCTCTAGCCTTGCCTTCCTTTCTATTAGTGAAGTAAGTTATTTGTGCAGTATTTTCTTTCCTCCTCTATGGAAGGTTCACCAGTTTCAGAGTATAATTGTCTTAAATTGGGAAAATTCAATTTTCTCTAATGCTTTAACATTTAACTCAGTTTTGGGATGATGCCTGCATTCCTTGCATTACCCAAAACATTTGGAAAATGAACTCATTTTAACTCATCTCCTTCCCATCCTCAGCCCACCCCACAGTCCCCAAACCAATTACTTGCCTGGCTTCCTCACTGAACTCTGCATAGACACCATCCTCCAAGTCATCAAGTCATGAGCCACTTGGACTCCTCCTCACCAATCCTTCCATCCTTCCTTGCCCCCAGTTACTTTCATGGCCTAGACCCTCCTTCCCCATCTCAAAACTGCTCTTTGTTCTTTTCTCCCCTAAACCTCATTTAGGATTCAGGGATGCTGCACATCTAGGTCATTACCAAAGCTTCCAAATTGGCTTCCCTACCTCAAGGTTTTCTCCACTCTGTCGTTCTAAATTTTCCCAAGATTAACCTTTTGTGAGTTCTAATGATCATTCAATTGCTCTGATCAAATTCCGTCTGTGGGTTCGGCGGCCAGGTGCTGAACCCCAGCTGTTAACCCTTGACTCCCTGTGTATTAAAACAATTCTCTTTCCCCCCACCATACATACTTCTTTGTACACTCTTGATTATACTTCCCTTCAAGCAATTGTCTATGCTTGGAATGACTTGTCTCCACTCCAGATTTGTACTTGTTGAACTTGCCTAGACCTAGAGCCATCTTTGAGTGAAGGCTCAAGCCAGGGCATCACTCCCTAGCAGGTCAGGACTCTTGTACCTTACTTCCTGGACATTCTGGTTCCATAAACTATGTTTCTGTGGCTGTAATTTCTGTGTTGTCAGAACCCTTAGGGGCCTCAGTTCTGGGTCTCCTAAAACACCTAGAATTGGGCCTTATATGTAGTAAATAAGAATTTTTTTGAATGGGTACATGTCATCATTTAAACCCAAAATGCTAAACTCATTGAAATGTTTTTCTTTTTAGCAAAACCCAAAATCACCTATGTAGAGAATCAGACCGCCATGGAACTGGAAGAACAAGTCACTCTCACCTGTGAAGCCTCAGGAGACCCCATTCCCTCCATCACCTGGAGAACTTCCACTCGAAACATCAGCAGTGAAGAAAAGGTATAATGTCACCCAAGAGTTTCAGGGCCGTGGAACTCAGACTCGAAGCACTTTGAGTCTGCCCCATGCCCAGTTCTCTTCGGCAAGTGGGAAGGTGGGATGTGGTCACTGGATACCACAGTAAGGTCCTGCAGCCTCCAGTCTACCCCCCTTCCACCCCCTCCTGCCTGGTCATGGCCTGCTCAACATCCCTTCATAGTGGAATGGGCATCATTCCCTGGCAAGGGTGTGATGGTAGTGGGCATGGTCAAGTCAAATGTTCTGAGGAGGAGGCAATAGTGATTCTCAAACCCAGGGTTGTGAAAGGGTGAAAACTCAAGACAAGCAAGCTCCTGATGCACCAGGTGATTTCATCATCAGCTCAGGAGCACCCAAGGAAATGTTTCCCAGCAACAACAGGGGTCAGAATGAGTCTATTAATTCTCTTCCTCATGTTTCATATACTCATGCTGTATGCACTTTATGCACAAAAGCTTGGTTGCCTTTGTGTCTGCCTGTATTCTTGGTCACATTTGGATTTCATTTTGTTCTAAAGGCAAAAATAATTAGCAGTTTCTACGATGATACTTATACCTGGGTTCTGTAATGTATTCACTGAGGTTTTAAGAACATTGTAGTAACCGCCCCAGAAAATTAAAATGACTGAGACCATTTAGCTTTAAAGCACATGGATTTGTAAGCCATTGGAAAGCTATCCTTATTGCCGACAACATATACATATTAGGGTGACCACACAGATCACACAGCCCTTAGCTACTGAATGGGCCAAACAAGAGAAAGAAAAGGTTTAGTTGTAAAGCCATTTCAATCTTCCTGTGACAGGCTAGGAATTCACTGGTAGAGCTCGTGGCCCTAGATTCAATCCCAAACACTATGTAGCAGAAGAGAAGAAAAGGAGGAAAGGGCATTATGGCCCTTCTCCAACAGTACTTTGCATCTCCTGTAGTATTGGGCTTTGTCTTAGTTGGCCAAATCTCTGTTGCCTATCAAGGAGTAATGGCCCTAGCCTCGAAGAACGTTTATAATAGATTGTTTATTGACCAGAATGTCAAAAATGTTAGATCTTCACTATTCTGTTTGCCCAGAGGAAATCCCTAGAAACAGTAAACTCAAGCAAAGCCAAAAAAGATAGTGTTAAGTACCCGAGCTAAAACTGGAATTTATATTTGAGGAACTTATTTCTGTCCCACTAATAGAAAACAAAGGAATATCAAAAGGAACAAAATATACTGTTCCAAATAATACAGTTTTTCAAGCTTTGTATCCAGAAATGAACTCAGCTTAACAGAAACTCAACTGAGGAACTGCTAAATATTTTTGAAACTTGCACATGCTGTTTGATCTGCAAAAGCCAGCTAGATTAAAAAATGTGTTTACTTGGGTAACTTTACCAACATTGGAATTAAACTCTCAGCTAAGATCTCAGCTTCCATTGTGTGTTACATGGATTGAACTTACATTTCAGGGCTTAACCCACAGGGCTACTGCTTGGCAGGTTTTTCTAGTTTAGATTTCAAAGTAGATGTGTCCAAAGTAACCCAGTATATATCTCTGACCTATAGTGAAGGACGGAAACATCTATCTCTGAATGACACTTTTAAATTCTCTATCTTTTCTAGGAATAGCTCAACAGTTAAACTAGACCAGAAAGATTATTATGATTTGTGCCTTCTCGGGGTTCTGTAATAGGTTGGCACTTCTGGCTTGAACCTATGATTTCATTTTTATAAAATGAGAACAAATAGCTAGGAACTAATACACCCTTCCTGGGTATTGAGACTGAAGATGCCAGGAAAAGACCTTCTCAGGCCCAGCTGGGACTGATTTTTTTTTGTACAACTAAGTTTTCAGTATAGATCATCTGTCTTAATCTGAAATAGCTATTCAAGCCTAGCACACAGATTTTATATATATCACAGTTTCTTGTACTGTAGACTACTTTCAAGTTTTCTTCAAGTAGCATTATTGAAGCATGAGTTACTCAGTGTCAGAACGAGTCCTTCAGATCAGCCCACAATGTGGCCAGATTGATGCATTTGGTTCAATGAAATCTTATATAACAAAATTTGACACTTCTATTGATTAAATATTGACCTCAAAGAAGCATGATACCAATCTGATAGTGAAGATAGCAAATAATGAATAAGCATGGTCTGTCTGTGAGCAGGTTGAATTCCAGTCCAAGCCACTTTTGCTGAAGCAACCTCTCATGTTCTTTTCCAACAAAAGTTGCATTATGTATAATTAGGTATCGTGATTACCAGCATTATTGAATTGTGGGAGTAGAGGAAAACAATTTACTTTATCAAATCAGGATGAAATGCTAGGTAGGTCACAGTAGACCATTATAGCTAATGAGTGAAGTAAAACAGACCTCCTGAGAGTTAAGTTCCATAGAGTGTCAGACTCATAGATGACTGGAAGATACTTCTCAGGTTATCTAGTCCTACCTGGATCCCTTTCCAGCATCCCTGCAGAAGACCATTTAGCTCCCGTGTGACTTAGGATGCTATCAGTTCGCCAATACTGACTACCAGGAGGGGCTGTCTCCTTGTTCATTCCACTACCCAGTTCCTCCCACCTTTGCCACACAGTCCTGTCTGAGTCACTGAAATACCTCTTTGGTTTTCCTCTAGCTGGTACCCCTTCTTCTTTTAACATATACCCAAACATTTGCTCTATTTTTCATAGATCATGTTTTCCACATCCTTCACCCTGCTAGCTGCTTCTACATCTGGACACCATCGTGTAGTCAGAGTAGAATTAGCTCTTAAGTCATGTGGTCAGCTATAACATGTGGGTCTCTTTTATATGAACTATATATAGGACACTTGTCCCCTGTCTTGTTCTCATGCAATTGATTACTTAAGCAACAGTGCAGAATTTCGTATTTGTTTCATTCATTGCAGTGCTATTTCTCAATCTAGGTCATTATGGCATTTAAGATAGTGTCTTCCAGGACTACAAGGAGACTCTGTCTCAAAAAGACAAAAAAAAAAGAAAGAAATAA